GTATTTTGTGAGACACTTCTGTTATTTAACCCTTTTTTAAGTGCTTTATTCAATTTTGTTCCACAACAATTATAAAATAGTTTTATAAGAGTATTGAACGGTACTAAATTATTGCTAAGAATGAACTGTTTTATAAATTATTCTCCATAAATACTATAAAATCTTATGATAAAGCCGTAATAAATCAAAATGCATACTTTTATAAGTGATATATATCTGTTTGTGAATATTACTATAAAGCAACTACAAAATATATCTATCTCAAACAAAAACAGTTTTATAAGTCTTGTCATATAAATATTTATGAGCAAGTTAATTACCAAACTTATAAAATTGTTATTTAAATTAATCTTGAAAATATCTATATAGCAAAATAACAAAATAAATTTGTTTTCATGATACATTTGTACCTATTTATCGAGTCTCTTAAAAATCAGTTTTGTTACTTCAAATGCTCTAACAAATCGGATATAAAGCACTTCAGTCTATTAACAATATTTCTGTGCTACTTGGGGGGTCTTCGAAAAATAGCGTAAAAACTCTCCACGTAGTAGGGAATCCTTCTCCAGCATTATTCTTGATAATATGAAAAGGAAGATGTGAAAATTCACCTTCGAATTCTTCAAGTAATTACATGGGTATTTAATTTAATTCTCTGACATATTGTCAACAGGATATTTCAGTGTTCCAATTTTAATAAATATTAGAATGCAAATAACTTTCTTAAGAATGCCACGTAGACCAGAGTTTTAACGCTATTTTTTGGACACCCTGTATAACTCGAGACCAGACGAGACCACTCGAGACGAGACGAGCCTTTGGTACTCGAGACCGAGACTAAGTCACGGTCTCGTCTCGAGATGTCGAGACGAGACGAGACCAACCCTAAGTCTCGTCTCGCGGCACCACTTAAAATTAGGTACTTCAAAAGAACAGAAAGTTCTATTGGGATCATTCCTGTAAGGCAGCATTCGTAAATTTGGAGCAGGAAATAGCAAGTGATCGTGTTCTGACAATTTTCTTAGTAATTCACTATATTAATATTGAAGAAAATTCAAACAGCCCACCAGGATGCGGAATTACCAGCTATCACGCTGCTAGACTACTCAGACACTCTTCATACCTCTCAAGTTTCGATCATGAGGTAGAAAAGGTTCTTTTTGCCTATGTTTTGGACGAATTAAAAGTAATCAAGCCCTCGGTGAAGTGGAGTCACGATTCGATATTACGAACAACAATTTCTGTAACAAAAATTTGGATTCAAGTTAGTTCGCCAATTTGATTGATATTTCAAAAATGAATGCAGATGTATTGTTTGGCTATAGTGTTGCAGGTCGCAAGAAATCTTGTCTTGCTCGGCTATTTCTTGTCTTGTCTTGCTAAGCAAGACAAGAAATTTCGAAACTTCTTGTTCTTGCAAATTTCTTGCAACCCTTTTTCTTGTTCTTGCTACAAGACTCTTGCTATTTCTTGTTCTTGCTTTATATAAAGTTCCTACATAGATTTTAGATTCGTTATAGTCCTTTTTTCAAAAAGCAAGTTAAGTTTCAAATTATATTTAATTTTCTTTGAAAAAACTCGTACTTTTTTCATTACATTAGAAGACTACATCAGACAAGTCGACGAAATTAAATGTTTAATAAAAATGTTTGCTTTTTGAAACTATAGTCATTATATTGGAACTTCAAGAAATATTTTTGAAGTGGAATTAATTTTTGTGTGTATTGAATGAAACCGAGTCGTCACGCTCGGCTATGTAACGCACATTCGGCTACACTCGGCTCGAGTCGAGCCAAGCGAGAGAATTACATTATGCTCATGTGTATAGGTGAATAGAAATTGTTGGCATAATCTGAGAATATGTATTTAGCAAATAGATTTAAATCAAAACTATCCATCATATCTTTGATACAAAGGTAGATCAATCTTGGTATTGAATATAAAGCATAAAAAATATACCTGTATTTCATATTGTTAATCTCGCCTAATTGAAGTTTTTGTTTTAAAAATTTGTCTAACTGCTTCTTCAATGAAACGCCCTATAGGTTTTTTATGTTATATTTAGGATGACGTCATCAAACAAGGACAGACAATGTTGTCAATGCCTATTTTTTTTTCCTTTTAATTTACCAGAATGTCATGCGTCAATAATTCTGACGACAGCTAAAAATAACGAAATGAAAATGTTTATACAAGTTATGCAACGTCGCCCGCCGTTGCCAACCAAAAACTGAAATTCTTCTACTTTAAATCCCTTATGGCCAGTTGCACCAACATTTTAAGACTGACTCAAGTCGGACTTATCTTTAAGCCGAGACTTAACTCTAAATTTTAGTTGCACCAGCAGTCGAGCTAGATTTAAAGTAGCCTTGAATTGAATTTTCTTAAGTCGCCAAAATCCAGGCCTTAAATTCGACTTAACATAATATAAAGGTGGGTTCTAACAGAAAATTGAATATAACTTAACATTTAAACTAACCTAACCTAAGAAGTTCGGAATAATATGCAAGTTAACGACGGCGTTCATACAGCTCCACTTAACTTAAGATATAACCTAACTTAACAAGAAGTTCGCCAACTTTTATCTTTTCCTTAAATTAATGTAGATTTGTATGAACGACAAAAAATACATTTTAACTGAGTCTTAAGTCAGGTTAGGTTAAGTTAAGTTAAATTTTTTGTTAGAACCCATTAAGGGCCGGTTTCTCAATAGCAAGTCACCTCCAGTGGTTTTAACTCCAGGGTAAGCGTATCGAGTTGCTATGTTTACCCTGGAGTTATGCTTAACCCGAGGGTGACTCGCTCTTGAGAAACTGGCCCTAAGGTGGGTTCCCCAACAAAAAATTTAACCCGTAATAACCTACAAATTTTTCATATATCTTATTTTTTTTCTGTAGATCCTTTTTTTGATTTTTATAATACTGTTTCAAAGAATCCAAACTTCTCTCTCATGCGCGGTGAAGCAGCATTGAAATTCCTGCATACATTCTCCGAGGCCTCGTTTTTTTCATGAACGGATAGAGCATCAGTTTTTTTATTCTCAATAATATTTTCAAGTCTTGCCACTCTATTAATTAAGGCCTCCTTTTATGCTAATGTAAAATTCGCGCCCCTCTGCTTTTTAGAATCTAGTTCTTCCATTGCTCAAACTCTCGATCAGAAACACCCAAACACCGAAAAACCACAAAAGACTATTTGTCAACTTTTGTCACACTTCTGTCCGTTCACGGCATTTACTGAGGATTTTGCAACGTTGTCATCGCCAAAAATTATTAAGTCCGACTTTACCAAGTCGGCATAATTTGTCTATGATGCAAGTAAATTAAATTAAAGGCTAACTTAAAATTAAGACCTGACTTAGCTAAGACCAATTTAAGTTGCGGTTGGTGCAAGTGGGCATTAATAAGTACTTTGTAGTTTTGTTAGGTTGGCAGCAGAAATTTACTGAATGTGACGTCATCCTAAATATAGCGATAAAATCCTATATTTAGGTAGAAAACGATATAAAAAAAAGTAATCACTTTACGCACTCTTCAAAAGACCTTAAATTTCACTTCACGCAATAGTGCGTAAAGTGAAAATACTTTACGCGCTAGTGCGTAAAAGTATGCAATATGTGTGTAAAGTACTTTTTTCCACTCATGTGATTGTCAAAATTCACATTCGTGGAAAAAGGTTCCCCTTACACACTTGTTGTATAAATGGCTATTTTTTGTAACATTTTTTTATTTATTTAACAATAAATAATGTTATGCGAGTATAAGTAATTGTGTACTTTTTAGCTAACATTCATCAACTAATTATTATTATTTAAAATAAATCGTGCAAGAAGTCTTGCTTCTTGAAAATTTCTTGCACAAGAAATCTTGTTCTTGCTGATTAATTTCTTGTCTTGTAAATTTCTTGTCTTGTAAATTTCTTGCTAATCCACTTCTTGTCTTGTTCTTGCATGCAAGAACAAGACAAGAACAAGAAAAAGCAAGACAAGAACAAGAAATACCTGCAACACTATTTGGCTAGCGAAACGGCGAACTGCAATAGAATTTGCTGCTTTGCCAAACTTGACAGAAACAATAATAAACAAGTTTGTGACATATTTTTTCTGCAATATGGGTATGTGTAGCATTTTGAAATAGAATAAAATCCGGCAGCATTGCGAAATGAAGGATGTGGAGAGGCGTGATTATTCAGAGGCATGATTCTATTGGTTAGAGCCTGAACGACAGCACCAGACGCGTGGTTATTGGTGAAACTCAAGAATTTTTTTCCTAATAATTTTTTGCTTTATTTCCCTGGTGTTTTCGGTGCCACTGAACCCAAAGACATGGTTGACATCAGGCGGTGTCAGTTGAGGTGTCAGTGAATATTCTTAGGTTACGCCCAACTTTTCTTCCCCCTTTCGTCTCTACCAAGTTACCACTTGCCAGACTATATATCGGCCAATAAAATCAAAAACTTTCAGCAACGGGGATTTTAGTAGCTTTTTAGATCACATTTATTTGGGCTTGACTTGAAGTTATTTTGATAGTTGGATCGGCAGGAGGTTTACGGAAAAATTAACTTTTATGTATATGCGTACGAAAAATGTTAGTGACTGCGCAATTCATTTATCGAAATAAGTGTTTAAAACGCAAAAACAAAGAATGCACGAATTTTTACAATAATCGAAAGCGATGTTGATGAAATTACTCTGATTGCTATGCAGTAGTCCGGAAATATATTTAAATGCGTCCAAGACATGTACCTACAAAATAACAGGTAGTTTTTTTCTTGGATAAAAGAACGGATTTTTTTTTGATATGCCAAAAACAATATTTCTTGGCTTCCAGAGACCTGAATTGCATAAGCCAGCCATGCTTTCCGAATATCATCCACAACCTTTATTGTCTGAATCTACTGCTGATTCACAAACCTTGAAAAGGCATGGTAGATGGAACGTTGTTGCTGGAACTTGGATGCAACCTACCATAACTGATGAAGCAATAACAAAAGTGACAAGTTAGTTACCGAAGCTTTATTTGCGATATGTTTAGGAAGAACCGGGAGCTCTGGATGGATGGTGTGTTTAGGTATTCAATAGTATTTATAGTTTTGAAGTACAATAAAAAAATATTGTCACAGACAGAAATGATTTTGCTTCACCATACTTTTAAAGGGGGTCCTTCAACTTCAAATGCTCTTGCCCAAAATCTGTCAATTGTTTGATATAAGTGCTTGGTTACTCCATTAAGGCTATGGTTTTCATCCGGATAGCTCTAAAAAATACCCTCTACCTAAATTATACCTTTTTTAAAATTATTATAGGTACATGCCTGTTGCATAAATGGAATATCAGCAGCTTCCAACGCTTTAATTAATACCATTGCTTGTTGATAATGCACATTATCATCAGCATTCCCATGAATAATAAAGTACAACTTCCCCCTTAAGGCTTCAACGTGTCTATTAATATCTGTATTGTTGTAGCCATAAAGGTTATCATCTTCAGTTGGAAGCCCCATATATCTTTCGGTGTATATTGTGTCTAAAATAACATAGGTAAATCAATAAATTTTCACTTTTGATATAGATGACTGTTCACCATAATAAATGAAACTGGTAACTGGTGCCACAGCCAAAGCAAATTTGAACACATTTTCTTTGTCCTTCACTAGAGTCCACGTTGAAGCGAACCCACCATAACTCCATCCCCATATTCCAGTTCTGTGGCGATCAATATATGACAAATTGTCTTGTAGATATCTTCAAAAATCCGCATGATCTAAGATGTAATTTCAACCACTTAGTAAGTTTTACTCACTTAGTTACCGCAATTTGATCTTCAATTTCCACAGTTCCCATTTTCCGGTAGATTTGGAACATTTTCTTTTCGCCATCCCTGCCACTACCTCTTCCATCTATGTAGATATAAATATATGACCTGTTAGCGACAAAATAATTCATGACACCAGATGAAAAAACATCGGTGATTTGATTTGAGTTTGGTCCAGCATATCTGGAAATAGCGAATGGAAAAAATAATTGTTGAGGGATCCTTGCATCATGAAAAAGATTTACGAACAGTTTTGGAAGTGAGACCAAACTTATTGAAAACAGAACCCTGTCGTCAAAGATCGCCCTAATAAGTACTTACACATTAACTACAGCGGGATATGTTCGATTTTCATCAAAATCGGGAGGCAGCCATAGTCTTACACGAGCAGTGAAATTACCACCATCTAATGGTACCAAAAGATCTCGTTTCACCGGTCGTGCTTTTTTACTTAGAGCTTGTCTTATTTGTGAATTGTCATTCCAAACGTAAACATCAGTCTCCTGAAATGATGTAATAATTCTACTTATGGCTGTTTGCACCAACCGTTTTAAGGAAGCCTTAACGATAAGTGAATACTTATCGTTCAGGCTTCCTTAAAATGGTTGCTGCGCTACAAACGGCCATTACAACTGAAATTGCTTACGTTATTCAAATTTTCAATCAAAACATATGCAGGATTAGGTCCCTGACAAACTTTCACGTAATACTGGAAGTTCGAACTGAAAGATGCTCCAGCATATTTGCAAAGTTCGCCGTCGACTTGAAATTCGCAAGTCAGGCATTTGTCTTCTAAGGTCGCAGTATTTACAACGGATATGTGTTGTTGTGATGGAGTGTTGTTGACAGAAGAGGCATAATAGCTGAAATAATTTCATAAAGGATTAATAGATATTGTTATTATTATTATTATTAATAGGTATTATAATTATTATTATTGACCGGAAAGTCTATGAAATTCAGTCTTGCTTGCATTTTCGAGAGCTTTAAATTTAATCGATTAAACTATCCAACATATTTTGAGCATGATTTTGCTTGGAAAATAGTTGAATGCACAATAACTTAATAAAAGCCCGGGACCGTGAAGCGGTCGAGGGATTTTATTTAAAAGTGATTGTGCATGAAACTATTTGCCAATAAGCGAAATAATGCTAAAAATATTTGGATAGTTTAATCCATTTAAATTAATAACGATCATGAAACAACACTGTCGTGTAGAAGTTCAGTTTCTCTTTTATCAATTTGCTGTTTCATGGAAGCAAAAGTTAAACCGCCATCCTTATTTTCAAACCTCACTACAAATTGTACACCTATCATCACCAAATCACGCAGACACTGAGCTGTGGATGAACAATTTAGAAAGCAGGAAATCAAGAATCTTTTGGGATAAAATATTATTAAAAAAAAGCAATTCTCCATGGCGAGCTCAAGTTTTAGTCACTCACAATGAAAATCGCATACGACATATTATGTGTATAGATTATTCACAGACCATCAACAAATTTAATCTACTAGACACCTATCCGCTTCCAAAAATTGAAACATTAGTCAATAAGATTTCGAAATATGAAGTGTTTAGCAAAATTGATTTGAAAAGTGCCTATCATCAGGTACCCATCAAAGAACAGATAAACCATACACTGCATTCGAAGCTGTTGGTAAGTTGTATCAGTTCCGAAGAATACCTTTTGGTGTAACAAATGGAGTTGCTTGCTTTCAGAGAGTATTTGACTTAATAATTTCGGAAGAATAATAGGGTAGTAGACAAGGTATAATTTCAATGAAATCGATGATCTATTGTTCATCTATGGAGTAAATGAAAAATATTCCTATTGAAAGAAATTTCAGAAAAAATTGCTAAATTGGTTTAAAACGATTGTGAAAGTAGAGTTTTGGGACGCAATATTTAAACGAAAATATTTCGCGCCTTGATTCTATGTCATAGCTGTTGTATTTGAGTATGAAATGAATTAAACCTTCGTCCTATATTCGACACACACTTACTCATTAGTGCAAAAAAGAGAGATATATCAGCGTCTGTCGGGGCGCACCCTCAACTTAACCCCACTTTTTGAGAGATTTTCATATGTCAATCAATGCGCACTGAGCTTATCTGCATCTTTTTCTAGAAGCATGTAAAATATAAGGACGCACTGACCGCGCTCTCGCCCACTCTTATTAATGTCGGAATGCCTTAGACATAACAGCTGTGACGTAATTTCCGGGCGGTAAATTATAGCGTTTAAAATAAGTATAAATTTTTTTATTTTTTTTTAGGTATATTTTTGTTTTCCAAAATCAAAGAATCATCAACTACTATTTATTTTGTTATGGAGATTAATAAAAAAAATATTTCAAAAAATTGTCCACTACCCTATTGACAGGCGCCTATGCTCATTTGAAAATCAAATCCTGGATTTCAAAACGATAAAGACAGACATTGCAAACTCACTCCTTTGGTCAATAAATGAACATGAAACTTTAGTTGTGGAAACTAATGCATCAGAATTTTGTATAGCCGCGACCCTGAGCCAATCAGGAAAACCTGTAGCTTTTCTCTCAAGGACCTTGTCTGAATCAGAAAGCAAGCATTCATAGGTAGAAAAAAAAGCGGATGCATGTGTAGAAGCGTTAAGAAAATGGAGACACTATCTAATTGGATGAAATGTGAAACTTGTGACAGATCCGCAAGCAGTTTCGCTTATGTTTGATACTAAACATTCTAGTAAAATTAAAAATTAAAAAATCATGAGATGGAAACTTGAACTAACTTGCTACAGCTATGATATCATTTATCGACCTGGAAAAAAAAACACAGTAACCGATGCATTCTCGAGAATTTCAGTAAGTTGTAGAATAGACAAAATATTCCAACCACATCAAGATTTGTATCATCCAGGCATTATTAAAATGTATCATTTTGTCCGAGTTAGAAACCTACCCTATTCTCTAAAAGAAATAAGAAAAATGACTGAAGTGTGTCTAGTGTGCAATAAAATCAAACCAAAATTCCACAAAAATTTCAATAGCCACCTGATTAAAGCTACAAAACCATTAGAACGCTTAAATATTGATTTCAAAGGACCACTACCTTCAAAAGGTAATCATAAATACATGCTTACCATTGTGGACGAATACAGCAGATTTCCTTTTGTCTTTCCTTGTTCGGATGTCACAAGTGCAACTGTCATAACATGCTTTGACCAGTTTTTTTGCAATACTTGGAATGCCTGCCTACATTTATTCAGATAATCTAAAGAACTCGAGGAATAGCTCACAGTCGTACCACACCATATAACCCAGAAGGAAATGGCCAAGTAGGAAGATATAACGGTATAATTTGGAACGCAGTATTATTAGCTCTTGAAGCAAGAAACTGCTCAATTGAACAGTGGGAAACTGTCCTTCCAGATCCATTTTGGTTGTCAACACCACATAAAGTTTTTGGAAGCAAACAAAATAGGAAAAGCAAATAGGATCTTTTAGTTGAAGAAGCAGATCTTATAGATGCTAATCCTGAATAAGCCTGAATCGTTTTGATGGTGAGAAAGAAGCTACCATTTCAGTGAAACATGTGTCACCAAGGGGAGACGCCAATCTTCTGAATGTTTCGAACAGCTCAACCACTTCTGACATTGGTAATTGTTCGAAAAGATTTTATACCAGTCTTAGAAAACTTGTTTCCTATGGGCAACAAATCTAGGGGCAACGTAACACATTTTTCAGCATTTATCAATGTTCGAGGGCTATTCGGATTTTTAAAAAAAATGACAATATTCGAGGTAATCTCATAGAGTGAAAGCAACCAGTGAAAGCAACCCTAGGGCTGTTTTCACTTTAATGTTGAAATGATTGAGAGATTTGAGTTACATCACAGGTTACATGACAAATATACCAAAATTTAATTGGCTGTTAGAACTGTCAAAATTTGTCAACACAGTGAATTCATGTCCTCAGAGATTAGGCCGGCATACACACACGTTATTTCGCGCGGTTTATCGTGGCATGTTGGGATGTGGTGGCTAGAAAGAAAGAACGCCGAGGCAAAAAAAGTGTCATGGACTAAGTATTCAAATGATTTAGCATGTGATTACGCATATAGCATACCAGCCTCAAAGGAAAAATCGTACGTGTGTGTACAAAAACTCTCATTTATCATGTCGTTTAAAAGTGCATGTGGTGATGTACTAATTTTCAACGTGATAGATCGCTACGCGACGATGTCTTCCTACTAGCCTCAAAACTGTGACATAGAATGGCGTGTGGACACGGGTGTGAACTGCACTATATCATGTACTGAGTACTGATGCCACATTTCAGATGAAAGCACGTGTGAAATCCCTTCCCATTCTATCATTGCGTGCAGCCCTCCTCACTCACGCACATGATTTTTCACAGGTTTTTGTAGATGACACGACAAACTACGCGAAATAACGTGTGTGTATGCCGGCCTAACATTATTACTTTGACGGAAGACATCAGCAATATCGAAACTGTAATGAATTGGGATTATTTCAAATGTCTAAACAAGATCGTCTCCACAAACTTTTAAAGCTGTCAACTGGAAGCCAGTTAAATCTTGATTCTTCATAATCATCTTGCTATGAGAGATTCTTGATGACCTGAATAGTTCTTCGTTTTCGACATTTTTTTTTCAAAAGTTCGAAGTCTGTCAAAAAAGATAGATTTCATGGTAGGCGGCAGTAAACAAGTTTTGAACGAGTAAATGATTTACATAATGATAGGGCTGAGTATGGGACATGCAAGCGCCTGGACTGAAAACATCAGGCAGGACCCCCCACCAGAAGGTGCCTGCAAGGGACGACTGGCTAGAGCCTGACCCAGGGCTCATCTGGTATACAGACGGGTCTCTGACGGGGGAGGGTGCAGAGACTAGTGTATATGGGAAGAAACCTATGGCGAGAATAAGTCTTGCACTGGGTCAATACCCAACGGTATACCAGACTCAGATCTACGCCATACAGGCATGTGCTCAGGAGAATCTTCAGAGAGGTTACTCAGGCAAGCATATTCATATACAGTGTCCCAACTATTTCATAGGGACAGTATTGCTATCTCGGGAACGGTTAAAGTTACGAGGGCGTTTAAATTAGAAAAAAGTTGCCATTTTTGAAGAATAATAAAAATATATTTTCGTTGTTGCCAAATTTCTATTAGTTTCGCAAATACAGGGTGATTTTTGAAAATTTGCATCAACAATTTTATCAAATATTTTAAAATTTATTGATTTTAGAGTTCAAATTCAAAAGTATTATATTTTTAACATTCTTCAAAAATGGCAACTTTTTTCTAATTTGAACGCCCTCGTAACTTCAACCGTTTTCGAGATAGCAATCAATGCTGTCCCTATGAAATAGTTGGGACCCTGTATATCCTGTTCACAATCCGATGTCCACAGGTGCAGGTACATTTATCACCTTTCCCTATCAAATAGCATTGAAAGGTGATAAATTTTACGCTGTGTCTAGCCTCCCGGCACCGGTATTCATACGAATCCCAGTTATGACGCGTTTCCGATGACTCCATCAATGACCGCCGGGATTTATCGTGGGTCCCGGCTATTGGATTCAAAATTGAAAGTCGCGTTTCTCTTGCTGGTTGAAGCTGTGATTAATCCGGAAAAGCTTTTGTGTATTATTGTTTTTTGTTGTGATATTGGTATTAGAGTGGTAAGTACCTACTTCGTTAATCCACTTTTCGTAGTAGTGGTTTAAAAAGGGAATAGTATGGTTTATTTTCATTCATTATTCAGGACTATAGCTTTTTTAACAGCCTCTATCTCTGAAATAGGGTACTCTTGGACCCATAGTTCATAGGAATTTTTGCTCTTAATTTGAGATGTAGAATCCGCAGTTAAAATATTAACCTCTAATTTTGGGGCACCCGGTTTAATGTTACTGTACAAGATCAAATGCTGAACCAACTTTTAAAATGACCCTTATCTACATATAATAAAAAGTCATAATTTTATTTTCCATTAATAAAAGCTTATCGCGCCCGACTTTGTTTACTTTTTTTACTCTTCATAATAAATCTGCCCCAATACCAATGAAAATAATAATTATGCCGGGATCCACGACAGTTATCGGTGGTTGTTGATGATGTCATTTAAAAGGCGCCATAACCGGGATTCGTATGAATACCGGTGCCGGGAGGCTAGACACAGCGTAAATTTTACCGGTACCAGTGGACAGAGGATTGTGAACGGATAATATGCAGCGACAGCCAGGCAGCACTCCAAGCCCTTGGCTCAGACAAGGTCAACTCGAGGCTCACGTTTGACTGTATAACAACCCTCAAGCTCATCAGTGGGCTCAACAAGGTCACCCTTGTTTGGGTCCCGGGTCACAAGGGCATAAAAGACAACGAGGAGGCAGCCAGCTGGCTCGTGAAAGTAGAAAAACTGCCTTTATTGGGCCCGAGCCTGCTCTTGGGGTTGCTTCCTGCCTGGTAAAAGCCAAGATCAGGAACCGGTCCAACAACCGGTTCCAAGAAGAATGGCTGGAACAAGAAGAGCTCAGACAGTTAAGGATCTTTATGCAAGGTCCTTCAAACGGTAAAGAGGTAAAAAGCCTCCTAAAACTAAACATCACAGGTGCCCTGACGGGACACTGGGTGGTCAGATATCACCTACACAAAATCGGACTCAGCAACGAGACGGAATGTAGGTTCTGCAGCGAAGTAGATGAAACTACCAAGCATATATAGTCTACGAATGTGACACCCTCGTCAGTCGCATACTTAGATACTTCGGATACAGTTACCTGGAACCTCAGGAAATAAAGCATGTCCGGCCTGAGCGGCTCTGCACCTTTCTTATCAGTTGCGGGCTCCTAAGGTAAGACAGGGCTGCACCAAGGGGGAGGATAGCACAATGGACCATATGCGCGTCTACGTGCTGCCTGTCAAGGCTCCACTGGCGTAGCCAGGGGGGGGGCAAATTAAATTTTATAAATAATTCTTTAAAATTAAAATAAAGAGTCCCAAAAATAGCGTAAAAAAAAAACTAAAAAAGGGGCGTGGCTTTGCCTCCGTCAGCGGTCGCAGTGGGGCCGCAAGAAACACTTCCTGCAAATTTGCCCTCCCCCCCCCAAGACAAAATCCTGGTTACGCCAGTGCAAGGCTCCCCTTTCAAATGAATCAATCAATCAATGATAGGTAATTTTGGTATTCAGCAGAACGGCCCAGTAAAGCTTTCAGTAGGAAATAAGTGAATTACTTAATCAGCTTTTTTTCGCTATTAAAAAAGTACCTCATAAAGCAGATGTATTTATGTAGGAGAACCCTATCTATTCTACTTCTGGAGAACAGCCTTGATTCTTATTGAAAAGTCATCGGGACATCAGCGGTGCCAAAGAAGACCTAGCTACAATTTTTGAAACTAAACGAAATAAAAATAGTAGGTAGGTACCTAATCATATTAATAATAGGATTTTCTCATCCAAAGCGAAAATAACTGAGACCAGCCTTTACCAAAAAAAACTATTCAAAATCTACTATAGCTAGAATTTTTTCATATTTATTTGTAGCACGTTTCTTTTCTGAATAAATTCTTATTTCATTATCACGAGATTCTTTTATTACATATAGTTTAAACTTTTTCTCCACGAAGAAAACCGTCTCACTTTAGATAACTCATCCCTATTCTACCTTACACCAAGTTATTAGTCTGATCCCATCCATAAACGTGAGTGATTACTCGATTTCCAAAAGTGAGCCTTTTGGCTATATTGGTCCTTGATTCAGCTAACACCAAATGGTTAAAGTAATCACCATCATGTTCCTGTGGTAGAATTTCTAGTCTATTTGTAGCGTTTTTGTTGTACTTTGGTATTTGAGGCAATAACCAACCGTTCTTTTGTTTTCTGGATACTTCCTAAAAAAATTGCCGTATTATGTGAAAACAAAAATCTATTAACCTACCTCATTACAACTTCCACTCAAGTCACATCTTATTAACACAGATTCATTTTGAATTCTGTTCGTAGATATTATGGCAACTTCTGATTCGGATAACCATGTCAAATCGTAGAGTACATAATCATTATCTTCTTCTGTATTTTTTATTGAATCAATGAGCTTAAAACTTATTGTATTTCCTGTTGCTATATTATAAACGTAGGTTTGCACTACTGGGTTAGGTGTACCAACCTGAATATGCGAAATAAATAGGTATATTATTTTCATATCGTTATTTTCTAAATTTCACCTTTGGATATTTAATTTTAGCTTCTAAGGGATACTGACTGGCCAAAACCCCTGGAGTACCGTATAGGAAATAGGTAAATTCTTTAACGGCTGTATCATTAAATTTTACGTAAGCTAAATGTTTTCCATCGGGCGAGAACCAAAGAGCAGATCCAGTACCTAACACTTCCTCTGTCAAACAAAAAAAAACCTAAAGTCTACTTACGGAATATCTTTGCATCCATATTTTCAGTGTCTTGCTCGTGAAAAAAAACAAATAAAATTTTAAATTTTTGACATCTGTTTCCATTTAAGGAAGAAGACATTTTAAACCTACCAAGGCACACCACACCGCATTCAGTATCAATATTTGACAATTACCTTCATATACCCAATCTGGTGCGCCATTATAAATAACACCTTCAATGCCGTCTTCTGTTACTTTGATAGGGTTTTCAGTTTCCAAGACGCTTGGCAGATAATAAATATTATTTAAATATACATACGCAAATCCATGACCAGTGGTGTCAAATGTGGCTAACTGGACGGCTATTTTATTATTGACATCATAGTATTTTCTGAAAAAGGTAAGAAGCCTTATGCATGAATTTTGCAATTTTGTAATACGTACTTAATTATTTCATCATTACACGAAGCGTTTGGTAATTCAATAAACATTTTCAAAACTAATTATTTACAGCTCGTTAAAAAACTTTTTCATTATTTTTTTCGATTATTTTATTAAATATTTTTATGCGCTATAAGAATTGTTCATATCTATCAGCACTTACTTATTTCCTATGTCATAAACAGCATAAATGGCAGTTGTTGAATGTCGAAAAACCTGTTCAGAGAAATTATTTTACTTCTCTATTCAAAAAATAATCCTAATCCTATTCATAGATAGATACTATAATTACTTACAGATGACACATTGTAACGAATCAGTACATAAGATTGATCCGGAGATATGGTTATAGATGCTTCTCTATAGTCATCCTAAAAAAAAAAAAATTAACAGCTTTAATTGTAGTTTATAATATTATCAATTTACCAGAATAGATCCTTGCAGAAATAATTCTGCATTTTTTGTTGTAACATCAAATGAATAATAATCTCCATCAGAATTTTTAAACAGGAAACTGCTTTCTGGAAACAAATAGTTTTTCCAAATAACTTCGGGCAGAATTTAAACTGTAAAGTCTTACCAGTTAACCAAGTTCCATTCCATCCGGAAGCTTTAAAAGTGCCATCCAAACATTCTTTCAAGGTAAATGCAGTTTTTCCTTCCTCAATCGTAGACTCTTTTGTTATTGTCCTAGCCTTGGTTGAATTTACCAAAAAACAGAGCCCGATCAAGCAAACACTCTAAAAATAAAATATTTGTTCTAGTTACCTACTTACTTGAAAAAAAAAAAACGATAAAAGTTTCCTTAGTGAAGATAGTAAATCATACTCACAAACTTTATAATCAACGAAAAACTCATATTTTTAACGCTATGAAGGAATATATTCAGAAATCATCACATGTGACTGGTAAATCTGGTAATATAATTATTATTACTAACTCGTAACCGCTACACAATCATTGTGAATTACTCGATGATGATTATCAAAATGTCAATAAAACAAATCTAACTGGGACGAATAAAGCCTATTTAATCAATGTTGAGCATTAAAAAGCGATAAAGACATTTACGAATTAAGCATACCAAACATATTTTTGTTTAATAAATAAAATTAAGCGTCTTATTTTTATTGGCACAATCAATTTGATTGATAGTAATACCAATCAATGCATAACAGACAATTATTATTTGAGCCATTTTTAATTGTAGGCATATCTGTTTTTTTTTTCATCAAAATAAATTTTTTCTACTACCGTGCGTAAAGTACTCACTTTACGCACTATTCAGAAGACGTAAAATTTCACTTCACGCACTAGTGCGTAAAGTTATTCACTTCACACACTAGTGTGTAAAGTTGTGTCAGTGACAGATGTCAACACTGTCAATTTGGCATTTTTCTGGTAAATTACTTCACGCACTAGTGCGTAAAGTGGAAATACTTCACGTACTAGTTCGTAAAGTATTTGTCTAAATCTATTTTTTCACACATATTTGATTGGTAGTAGAAAAAAAATTGTATGCAATACGTGCGTAAAGCACCTTTTTTCACATTCGTGAAAAAAGGTTCACTTTACACACTTGTTGCATAAATAACTATTTTGTTTCTAACTTTTTCTCCACTCTCTGACGCCCAGGGTGATTTCGAACGCACTCCTAAAGATTTATTTTTCCAAAATGCAAATCCATCAATTTCTATAAGTGTGTAAATCAAATTGTTCGTAATTATACCATAAACAATCAACTCTTTACCTCAGTCTACTCATTCAATGATTTGAGAGTGATTTTCCAGAAAGACCTCAGTTTTAATTTGCATGTTGAAAACGTTGTAATCAAGGGCCTTAGAATGCTGGGTTTTATAAAAAGGAATTCTAAATATATAATGGATACCAAAGCAGTATAGTGTCTGTATTACTCACTTGTCCGTAGCACACTAGAATACTGCTCATCTATTTGGACCCCCAAATACACTATCCACAAAAGCAGACTAGAAAGGGTTCAAAATAAGTTCACAAAGTATCTTCTATATAGGCACCATTTTTCTTCAGACGGACTAACCTATGAAAGTTGGCTGATGCTTTGTGGACTGAAATGTCTTGAACACCGAAGTATAGAAGCTATGTTTATTTTGCTTCACAAGGTGTGCAATGAGATAATCGACTGTGAAACCTTGCTAGGCTTACTACATTCAAAAGTTCCCTTTAGACGCATCAGGCAACATAAACTGTTTTATGAAGGACAACATCGTACCATAGTATGACCAAACTGCTTTCATCGACAGATTGGTGGTTAACTACAACCGTTTCTATTGCAACTGTGATATTTTTAACTACTCATCTCTACCACAAATCAGGAAGATGATCAACGTTGCCAGAATAGTTCCAGGTTACGTACTAGAATTTTATGAAAAATGTACTAAATTTCGTGAAAATGTACTAGATTTTTTTTGTATTTTGACGTTTGAGTTCAAAAAATAATACAAATGGAAACGCTAATCCGATTAACCCAATCATCAGCAGTCTTTCATCTCTTTTTAATGAATACGATTGTAAAATGACACAAAACATCAACTGGTTTATCGGATGAGCGTTTCCGAAAAGACCTATAGTATATTTTGGAATAATATACACACATTTTTATAAACACGGTTTTGGGAGCGTTGTTATAAAAGATGTTCTCGTTCTTTGTGAAATATATGAGCGATATTCTTCTTCTGCTCTGTATGTGTTGGATAACTGTCCTTGCGAAAGACTTGATATGTTTCTCTGTGGTGATTTTAATCGTCCTAAAGTTTCGTGGATCTGCGATGATGATGGTTGCCGACCAATTGGTGCTACTTCAGATGAAACAAATTGCTTGGCGGATTGCATGTCTTTCTGTAACTTGTCACAACTCAATCAAATTTCTAATCAGTACGGAAATTTTTTAGATCTAATTTTTAGTAATAGAACAGATGTAACTATTTTTCCATGTGCAAGTCCGCTGTTAAGTTTAGATAAACCGCATCCTGCATTAGAGTTTGAAATTGGGGCAGTAAATACAACTAAAAGCTTGTCCTATGATTATTGGTACTACAACTTTAAACAATGTAACTTCAGAGAATTTGAACTAACTTTCACAATGGCTGATTGGAATAATATTCTGTCTGATCATGATGTTGATGTCTGTGTGCGAATGTTTTATGAAGCATTGAACAATTCCATTCAGGTGTCGACACCCTTAAACAGGCATAAGAATCCAAAATTTCCTAAATGGATGGATGACCATCTGAAAAGTCTTATTTTTAATAAAAAGGCCGCTCACAAAACTTACAAAATTTCATCATCATTGTTGGATTATCAAAAATTCTCCCAACTTCGCTCAGAATGTCGACGGTATGCCCCAATCAGTCATCAAAATTATCTTGATAGTATTGAGGAGAGAGTGCAGGAAAGGGATGGATTCTGGAGTTACATAAACTCTAAGAAAGACACAAAAGGTTTTCCTTCTTCAATGATCTTTGGTGAACAAAAAAGTGATACGCCCCAGGGTATCTCAAATCTTTTCTGTAAACACTTCTCATCAGTATACACCTCCTATGACCACAAGGAGATGAATATATCTAGCGACCTCTCTGTCAGTCTGGGTGATATCATTATAGAACCCATAGATGTTTACAACAAAATTTATCAACTCAATAATGTAGGATGCGGTCCAGATGGTATTCCTGTGTGTCTTCTCAAGAACTGCATTTGTTTTTTTTCTTTTGTTTTGTCTCAAATATTTAATAAATCACTATCAACTGGAACCTTCCCTGATGTTTGGAAATTGAGTTATGTAACTCCAATTTTCAAGAGTGGGGACAATTGTGATGTTAAGAATTACCGCCCTATCTCCAAAATCTCTATATTTTCAAAGATTTTCGAAGCTATCATAACTGACAAAATTACACCTTTATTTAAGCATTTAATTACACCAGAACAACATGGCTTTATGAAGGGCAAGTCAACCACTTCAAATTTGTTGGAGTTTGAGCAGGTCCTGTTTGATGCCTTGGAGGGGGGGTATCAGGTGGATGTCATTTATACCGATTTCTCCAGGGCGTTCGACAGGGTTGATCATAGTATCCTCTCTAGGAAATTATTAGCCATGGGTTTTCATGGTAAATTTTTTGAATGGCTTATTAACTATCTTTCTTATAGGAAAGAAAAAGTTAAAATCGAAAACTATCTGTCTGATTTTATTGAGGTTACGTCGGGAGTACCTCAGGGCGGACATTTGTCTCCTCTCTTGTTCAACTTATTTTTAAATGATGTCAAGCAAAACTTTGTAAATTGTAAATTTTTAAACTTTGCAGATGACAAGAAAATTTTTATTGTAGTTGGAAGTTTGCAGGATTGTGTTACGCTGCAAAACGAGCTAAATGGGTTTTTTGAGTGGTGCGAATTGAATAATCTTTCTCTTAATATCGATAAGTGTAAAGTAATGTCCTTTGGGCGTCTAAGGAATCCTTTCATTTTCAATTATTCTATCAACAATGTTGAACTGGAGAGAGTTTATGTTATTAGAGACCTGGGGGTTTATTTGGATGTGGAATTAAACTTTCATGAGCATATAGATAGGATTTCTAATAAAGCAATGAGGCTACTGGGATTTGTTTTTCGCAATTTGAAAGATTTCAATAATATTTTTACTTTGAGGAATGCATATTCTGCAATTGTTAGGCAAGTACTAGAATACTCCAGTCCAGTTTGGTCTCCTTTTTATGAAAATCAAAAGTATGCAATAGAGCGAGTTCAAAGAAAATTTCTGAGACAAATTGCATTTAGATTGAATATCAATTATGACTCTATTGATTATGATGACATTTTATCCATTTTAAACATGCAAACTTTACAGCAAAGAAGAGACCAGCAAGACTTATGTATCCTATACAAAATTATAAATAATATCATACAGTCACCAGATCTTTTGTCACTAATTGGTTTTCATGTACCTAGAAATTGTAATGTTAGAACAAATAGGCTATTTTATATCAAACATCATCGAACTAATTATGGCTTAAATTCTCCCATCTCAAGATTCTGTGGGTTGGCTAATAATATCATTGAAAGACTGAATATCGATTTTTTTAATGTAAGCCTAAATTCCTTTAAAAGAAAAATAAAACATGTTTAATTAAGATCCCTAATGCCAGTACTGCAGCAACTATTATTGTAGTATGTATTATGTTCTTTTTTTCTCTCTTGTAGAAGTCTGATTATATTATGTATATTACACTCTGTGAGTTGTACCTAAAAACCTGTGATATAGTGGTCTAAAGATAATCCTATTAACAAGTGTAATGTTCCTTGATTAGATTGTTATTGTTTTTTTTACTTGATTGTTTTACTAAATGTTTTTTTTATATATATATTATATTTATTATTACTGTAAACACGTTTAAATGACGTTGTCGTTAATAAAATATTTATTTATTATTTATTTATTCTTTGTTCAGAAAAAAAAGAACAGAGAGGCAAATATAGCCGAAGCCCGTAATTGCGAACGCGCCCTCGAAACATGAAGTGCGAGACGGTATCGATACCGACGATACCAAAATCATAAAATCTCAAAATTTATGTGTCGAAATTTTTACAAAAAGGTACCAGGTTTGAAGTCAAACGTACTAACGTACCAGATTCTTTGAAAAGGTACTAGATCTAGTACAATTGCACTAGACTGGCAACGCTGAAGATGATAATGTTTATGTAATTTTAACTGTGACTCCTATTCATTTTTCGTTTTATATAACTTTGTCTATCTGTTTTTAATCAGAATTTTTATGCGGCTTGACTTAAACTGAGATTGCTTCTGTATGTTATCTGCATTTCTATGTTTTTATTTTTGTGCAGTATTTTATTTTGTTTTTTAATTTTGATTATTTTGAGGAACTACCATTTAAAATATAACATTCTGTAGTGTATGCTTGAGATAAATAAATAAGTATAAAATATGAACATATAGGAAACAACTAAAAATCACAAAAGCATTT